TACTCAGAACTTGATCTTCTTCTGACTGATTGATATCCATGTAGGTGCATGCCAACATCTTATCTTCTGTGTTGTGTTTATAGTAATCTTGTACATCACATGCTTATAACTTGGCTTCAGACTCGAGGTAGGCTGATGAACTGATGTGACAGATTAGTTTGGGTAGATGATAAAGAATTTCCATACAGTCCCTTAAAATGTTTGCTCCCTTTTCCCTATGTACAGGCATGCAGGAATGGGGCAAAATGACTGTCATTAAAATGACTTGATGCCATGACTCAGAGACACTAGGCACTGCTACAGGAGCCAACTTAAAGACAACAGAATAGGCAGGAAGAGGTAACCAACCCTGTTCTCTTCTGCCTCCTCTTTATTCGGCAGCTGATAATTAAAATAATTTTCCCTAACACCAAGGTAAGGCAAGGCAAATCAAGAGGCTGTTTCCCAAGCAGATGCCAAGGCAGCTCGCAGACCAGATGGCATTGCACTGGCATGAGCTCTCTGTCCACACCCTGCAGCTACATTCGTGGAGCATCTTCTCTTGTAGCTACTGGGCAGCAAACACAAGCCTCATTTGGCCTCCGAACCGGGAAGCTGGGCCGATAGCGCACGCCATCTGCTGAAAGCGCCTGCCGTGAGTCACCAATGGCATTTGGAGCCAGTCGCCTGTCTACAGGATCCTGTCACGTACACGCGTGTCTGTGGTTTTTAAGAGTGCTGCCAACAGCCTTTAAACATGGGCATTTTGTGGAGAAGCCTTAGAAGCGGTGATGCTTTATCCTTAACTTTGGAATCCGTATTTCTGATTTCAGAACCTGAAATAGCGTTATAACCTAATGTCACCACAAGCATGTCAGCTCTGAGCTGTATGCGTACATGTGATAGCTGTCCTACAAAGGGAGGTTCACATTTTCAAAACAGATGGCTTTCAGGAGTCTACAGCAGCTAAGGCCAGAGACCTGCTCTGCAAAGAGGTGATGCCAGGGTCCCCGAGTTGTTGCTGAGCTGCATAAGGGCTGAGCCCAGGGCTCCGCTGCAGTTCAGGACAGCCCCGCCAGCCGGGCCCCCGCCTTTGCAGAAGCACGTGTTAATTAAAAGAGATTTTCTCTCGATGAAGTTACACAGGTCAAAGTGCCGTTTTGACTTTACTATTTACAAATAGAAACCCATCTGTAACAAGTTGTTTTCTGCCGTAGAGGTCAGCGCGAGGGTGTGCATTTTCTCCTGTTGCTCTTTCTCATGCAGTCTTAGTTATCACTGGGTCAAAATTTGTGCAAGCATCGATAATTTGTAAATAGATCTAAGTGATTACTAAGGAAGCAGTTTTAAAACTAGTGACCCCACAATGGGTAGCTCTTTAAAAAGCTAATCGTTATCTGGCACTTCACAGAACGGTGGCATGGTCATTAGCTGGCCTTTGGGGAGCTTTCTGTTGTGAGGAAAGAGGGAGCTGTGTTACTAGGTTCTGAACTAGACCAGCAATCTCCTTTCTTTTGGATTAATGAGTGTTAAAATAGGAATATGTAGCTGCTGGAGGAAGGAAGTTACTCATTTTAGGGTCAGTGCCTGAGCGTAGCAAGAGTTTTAATGGCCAGCACCTCTCCTAATTGCAGGAAATTGTTTACTTGAAGATCTGATGTCGGGTGTTATTTGAAAGCAGATGAATGTGCATCCTTAATTTTCCTCCCCTGGGAAGGTCATAGTGTCTCTGAGGTGAATAACAAACACTGTCAGTGTATGGTCAGCAGATGCTTTCTTCACTGAGACTGCAGAAAAGAGTGAACCGCCGCAATCACTGACCGTTGTGGCTGTTCTTTTGCTTTACTTATTTCCCCCCTTCATTATGAATATTGTTAACGTGGTTTTCATCTCTTTTGTGTTTACTCAGCAGCCGGTGCCTCTCTGGGCAGGGACAAACTATCTTAAAGGATAGAAATGGGGACGTATTTTACTTGCATTGCTAATAGCTCTGCCTTCTCATTTTTTAGTATCTTTGCCACACTACCTACCCAGACAGGCTGCAGGGAAACTCGGCCTGACGGGCAAAAAGGGTTGCATGCTGGCTGGCGAGGAGCTGTAGCAGTTCACAGGGCAAGATACCCCTAATTCAGGATTTTGCTGTAATTATCCAACTTAAGCATCAAGATCAAGATTAAATTGTAAATTGACTGCTATCATAATGATTAATTTGTTTTAATTGTCCCTGGGGTCATTCTGATTTTTGTTTGTTTGGTTTGGGAGGATGTTATTACATTTTTAGCTCCCCAAATCAATGGACTTCTTATTAAACATCCGTATATTCTGTATTGCTCTTAGAAGTCACCAGTAAGGCTGAGAGGTTTCGTGAAGGAAGGAGGACTTACTGAACCGAGGAAACAGAGAACCGCCTGCCATGGGCTTTGGCAGAAAATTTGTCTTGCGTTGTGCTGACCACAGCATGAACAGTGGCTGTGCGCCTTGTGGAAGCAAAAATGTTGAACTCCTCTCTGCTGTAGCATTAGGCTGCCTTTCAGTACGGCATGAGGGTGTGGGGGTGTGTGTTGCAGGCCTGTGTCACAGGCATGATCACCAGGCTGACCTTGTCTCATGGGAGATGATACTTAGCCTAATTTTCTCCCACACTCACTCTACACTGGCCAGGTTCAGTTTTAGAGCAGAAAGGGGTAAATGTGCTGCTCACACTGATGGCTGGCATATGTTAGAAGAGCAGTCTTATTTCCTCTTCATCTTCACACTAAACCATTCCCCAGTAGCTGACAAAGGCCAGTGTGGAGGTTTGATTTGCTGAGATGGGCAATTACTGCCTGCTTTTGAGAGAGCAGAGAGGGGCTCTAATAGCTACAGGAAGCCAATAGCTCTTCACAAAACACCCTTGATGCTCTGGACTGAACTGTTGTTGGTAATGGTGCTAATTTTAGCTCTTGGGGGAAGTCTTAATTTTCCTATGGGACCAGAATATTTTTAGAAAAAAATGAAGGTATTTTTCAGCTCCTGTCTCACTGCTACAGATACCAATAGAGAAAAGAGAAAACCCCAGTCCTTCAGTGAGCGTTTCCAAGAGCAGAGTAAAAGTAGATAGATGTGATGATTATGTTTAGATTTTTGGTGGTCTTACATCTCCCATATACTGCAATTCTTCCTGTAGTACAGTGTATTTTATTACAGCACCTGCTATAAAGGAGCTTTAGTACGTGTCAAAACCAACAGGATTTTCAGCCTCATCACTACAGAAAGGCAACGACAGTAAACTTCTTGTCCAAAATTACATGTTCTCTAAAAAAAAAATTGACCTGTAGAGTCCCTTCAGTTGTCCTGACTCTCAGTACAGAACTATCCCAGACTTCGTAGTTTTAAGTGCTTCTCTTTTCACAGGTTTTGTGAACTGTTGAAAACAAGTCTCCCAAAAGTACAACATACAATTTGCACCCTCCCCACCATGTGCCACATGTTACTGGCATGTTTTATGTGCTTGAGACACTGTTAAGGAGAGCTAAGCAATCGCTCTTCCCAGAGCCATCCAGTGCTAGCGCCATCTGATTTCACTGCATCACCTCTTATTTCCTCGCTGAGATTATAACAATCCTCAGAACTTCGTTTAAGAGTATCCTGACAGCAAGATTTCTTACACTGAAGAGTTCTCTTCAGAAAAACCCAACAAACCACTAGTGCATCAAGTACTCAAAAAAAGCTCTTTTCATTTAAAAAATTTAAAAAGTTTTATTAACTGGTTTGAGGTGGCTTACATTATGTTGATAGGAACGTAAGTCCATGTGTAAAAAATATCCCCAAGATTTAGCATATAGAAATAAATGTTTTGTAGTGGTAAGAATCGGTCCCCAAGACTGAGAAGATCAGAGAGATATTTCTATCTCCACCAGAATTACTGTGAACTTCAGTAGGACAAGTTGAGTTGATTTGATTAAATAGAATGGAATTTGTGTGTCTGAGTTGTGTTTTTCCTAGGTAAGAATTTAGGGCTGTTTTTCTTGTATTTTTCTTTTCTAGACCTGTATGCATAAAAGATTTGTTCATGGATTTATTATGGAATAAATTAATTTGGAGGTACTATCATGGGGCATTTATTTGATTCTCATTAAGAAGATCAAAACACACTTTTGAGCCGCAGACTTGGGTTCTTAGTACGAAAAAATGTTCCTCCTGGTTACAAAGACATGGTTTTGCAAACTAATGGAGCCTGAGATTCTACTTCTGGTACATATTAACTACATTTTCTGAGAACAAACAAATTTGTCTAATTGCCCCAAATTCCTTCCACAGCTAGAACTCTGTACAACTCCCTACTGATAGTCTTTTCAATATTAATCCCATATTCATGTGTTACTCCAGTTACATCTTCGACAGGAATGCTACTGCAAGAGTTCTGTTTCGAGAGTGTTTTATTACTCATAAAGTTTTAGCTCATCCATATAGTTTGATTGCTAGTTTTGTTATTAGCTTACTGGAGTCTCTCTTTGTTTACTTTTTATTCATAAGTTCCAGAAAGACCTGAAAGCCTTAAGCAGTACTGTGATCCTGTAGCGGGGGACATCCTGCAGACTGAAAGGAAGAAAATCTCAAATTAAGAGAGCTTAAAGTAACTAAGGGATAGGAAGTAAGTAGGTGTAAGAAAGGAGAATAAAATAGAGAAAATGATCCAAGGTTTCAGGAAAAATAAAGTAAGATGTAGTCTGTCTAAAATCCCATGTAACTTAGGATGTTGGTGGCTAAAATGCATGTGAGTGCAAAGCCGAAACTCAAACCATCTCCTTTTCGCTTGTGCTCCATCTGAGTCTCAAACACTTGACGGTCCTGAGAAATGCTGGCCCAAGGGTGATGGGTCATACGTCTTCTGCCAGACACCCTGCTGTAGCCTGGTATGGAGGGTCAGCCTTGGAGCTTCTCATGGACATGAGCCAGATAACCATCAGCACAGCCCGTGGAACATTACCTGCGTGGCACCAGTAGCGTTTTCCTGCAGACGTCTTAATAGAGAGGCGCCCATGGTGGGTAGCATGATGATCACTCTGCAGGTCAGTTTGGTGAAGGTGTTCTGTGTCTGTACCAGATTCACAGAGAAAAAGACGCTGAGGTGGATAGGCAGTGGAGGTGGCTGTTGTCACTGCAGCAAGTGGAAGGAAGAAGTGGTATGTAGAAGAGAGGAGATAACGAGAATGAAAGAAATTGGGGGGGAAAAAAAAAAGTGTAACACTTTTAACAGACGATCTGCCACAGGGATTCTCCTCGCAGAGTGAAGCAGCAAGCCTGCCAAATAGTGTCAGAGTCGTA